AAGTGCTGTCTCCTGCAGCCCATGTGAAACCTGAAGTTTGTTTGACCTCTTGTTCGGCCAGTCAATAATTTTATAGTTGTAAAACAAATCTATCGTGAGGATTATTGGTAACTCATTTGGCAGAATAGCTTTGTTTTTGCTGCATGGAGGTAGTACATGCAACAACAGAAACATTGACCATTACTATTGAGTTGACACAATTTGTCAAGAAGAACTTACTAAATATTGTCTCCTATTTATTAAAATAAGTGATAGAAAGTGTACATTGAAAGTACATTTATTAATCACAGAACTGTTATCTTAGATGAAATAGCCTGCAGTCTCGATTAAATAAGCATGCATAGTATACATTGTCATCACATTGACAGGAAAATGCCTGGAATTTCTGCAGAGTTTCTTCAGTTTTGGCAGAAATTGAGTGCATATCTTTAAGAAGCAGCATAAGCAGATGTTCACACTGTTTTCTGTTGAAGAGTCCGTGTGTGCTTGAAATAACTGCAAAAAAAAGTCTATCCTAAAATTCCAATGATTTATGAAAGCGAGAGATTCTCAAGAGATCAGAATATTCCAGTCTCTATTGGCGTATGTCCACTTTCCCATGACATTGTTCATGGTAGTCTAAGGCTTTGTGTGTGTGTTTTCTCATTTTTATCCCTTTAACTTAGTTGTTGCTTCAGAGCAAGAATACCTTTTTAAAATAGTAAAATAATTATCTAAGTGCACTCGGTGTTAATTTCTAGAGTTTAAATTAGTTAAAAGGAAGAAACTGTGGTAGTTCAAAATACTCTGCTGTTCGCATGTGAATAATAGTACTAGACTGAAATTCTATTTCTTCTGTTGCCAAGTAGTGTGGTGTGAGATGGTGTCCTATAGTGAATCCAACATCTGAAATGCTGAGTCTCATCAACACCTGATTCACTTGCACTTGTCAATGTGAATTTGAAATTGCTTTGCATTGGTACAAGTGTTGCAGTGCAACGTTAGTAGTTTATAAAATGTTGTTTCTAATCTTTTATAGCTTTTATTTCTTCTCTTTTCTCAGTTTGTACTTTTTCTTTTGTCCTTAAATTTTGATTTTGACTTCAGCTTTGTTTTCTTCTCACTATCAATTGTTTTTCCACTTTTTAAATTCTCTCTGTTTTGTTGTTTTACCTTTATCTGTGACCTGACGTCATTTTCTGCATTTTCAGCCATGTCACCAAAAATGCTGATTTCATCATTAACCAGCAAAAAACAACAGTAAAGAATGCAGAGCAGTTCTTATCTGAGAAAATGACAAATGTACTGTTAAAAATGGAGATTGAATCCAAAGTCTTCCTTCAATTTCTTTTTGCTTTTTTTTGAAAGAGAGTGAAGTGCATTACCGTTCTTGTTCTCTGCAGGGTTTTTCAAAACTCAAACATCATATTTACTAAAGAAGCAACAATCAACACAGGCACAGAAAGATTTACATCACTTACAGACATGTTGAATATGAGACTTCTAAAAATGTATTCTGTTGAATCTTTCTCACTCTCTGGATATCTGCATTTGAACCAAACTGGTTTTGGCACCGAAAACAACATATTGTACTACTTTTACCAGATGTGTTCTCCCTTGTTCCTTTGCAAGATCCTTTCACTCACTCTGTGCTCCTCCCTCTGCTTGTTCTTATGTTTTCATTGAAGCTCACCCAGAATAAAGGGCAGATATCTGAGGGGAAGGATGAGGAAGGACAAAATTTGTAGTGATATATGATGCAGTGCCAACAAAAGACAAGGGATGTTGAAAACCGTGGTGGTGGTTGAAGCAAATATCAGAGGTTGTGGTAACACAAGTACAAGATGAAGTATGAAAGCAGCTGATTTCATTTGGTTTGTGAACTTAACTTAAACTTGTTCTCTAGTTCAAGTCAAACCCCTTGTCACTTGCGGGCAGAATATAGTTACCATGGTTGAAAGTAAACCCAGCAAATACTGAAGAAACCCAGTAGGTCTAGCAGCATCTGGGGAGAGGGAAATTGATTTAATGTTCCAATATACCTCTTATTTGGAGCTTCAGCACTTCGTTTTTATTTCAGATAAAATGCTTTGGTTTTATTAAATGTAAGCCATCCACAATAAATATTGAATTGACAACTTAATTGTTGAAAAGGAGCTTGTAGTTAGCTGGTACATTTTTAAGCTTGAAGAAATCTCAAAAAGCCCAAGAAACAGAATACAAGTGCCTTCTGATTCTTCGATCTGCAGGTGCTAATTCAGGCTCTTGTTGAGCTCTTTTTTTCAATTAATCTTTAACAGGTATGTTCTTGTGTATAAGCAATTAAGCAATTATTGTGTATAAGCAATAAGACAATTGGACTTTGCTTTTAAAATAAGTGAACAAGCTATTATAAATCTGTCAAGGGTTTTCTCAGTTAGTGGGGTGATCAAGCATAGCCAGTTCTATTTCCAAAAAAAACATTATTAATTATTGTCTGTTTACTTATTTAACAATTTTCTTGTTGGCTAGATTGTTAGGTTTATATTTAATGTTGATATGGTTATCTGTGCTTCCGTGGGGATAAAATACACAAGTTTAAGTCCTACTTCTCTTGACAGTGTTCCTTTCAATTCAGGTCTTTCATCAGTTGGATATGTCATATGTGCCAGGCATTCATCTGGCAGTCTTTAGGAGGAGTTAGTCGGTTCTAGTTGTCTGTCGTATTTAATCTAATCTCTTAGTCTTGCCTGTACTGTCAATGGCCATGTAATTTGTACTAGCCTGGTAGCTCTTTGGAGATACGATTATAAAATAATCGGCCCAACAACGAAGAATATGTGGTTTCTTACATCCTACTTGAGTTGTTTTATGTCATGAATTCTACGCTAATAAAGATTGAATGAATAAATCTTTTTAAGCTTTCTTGGGATGCTGGCTAGGGCGAGGAAAGCATTTACTGCAAGCCTTTATTTGCCCTTGACAAGGCTCTCATAAGCTGTCTCCTTAAACTACTACAGTCCACCTGGTGTACATTTCCCTCAGAAGGTTGTTGGGGTTTCCTGGATTTTGATGCAACTACATTGAATGAATAGCCCAAATTAGGATGATGTGTGGCTTGGAGGGGAATTTCCAGACGGTAGTTTTTCCATGTTTCTGCTGTCCTCATCTTCCAAGGTCACATTTGTCGTGGACTTGGAAAGTATTGTCTTCGTGAGTTGTTGCACTGTGTTTTCTAAATGGTACATACTTGCTACTATCAGTGCTGTTAGGAGTGAATGTTGAAAATGTTAAGAGATGCCTGTCAAGCAGGTAGCTTTGCCCTGTGTGGTCTTAAGCTGTTGGAGCTGCACATATCCAGGTGGCAGAGTATTGCAGAACACTTCTCCTTGTGCCTTGTGTATGGTGGACAGGCATTGGGGAGTCAAAGTTACATGCCACAGAATTCCTATTCTCTGACTTGCCTAACAACTGCAATCATCATTCTTTCTGAGAGTTTTAGCTCCAACCAGGGCAGTGCGTTCCTCTGATTCTTATTGAATCCAGTTTTGCTAGGGCTCCTTGAATCTTCACAATCCAATGATGCCAAGAAAATTATCCTCACTCCCCTGTGGACTTCAGCTCTTTTGCTAATGTTTGGACTAAGCTTTCAAAGCGGTCAGGAGCTAAATGCCCCATTCTCAATCCAAACTGAGCATCAATAAGCAGATTACAGACAGTCCCTGATTTACGAGCATCTGACTTACGAACTTTGTCTCATGCTTAAGAACAGCTATTTTATATTGTATCAGAGATAGTAGGAACTGCAGATGCTGGAGAATCCGAGACAACAAGGTGCAGGGCTGGATGAACACAGCAGGCCAAGCAGCATCATAGGAGCAGAAAGGCTGACGTTTCGGGCCTAGACCCTTCTGATGACGTCAGCCTTTCTGCCCCTATGATGTTGCTTGGCCTGCTGTGTCCATCCAGCCCTGCACCTTGTTGTCTCTATTTTATATTGTTCTGTGTTGTGTTCTGAGTGACTTGTGTACAAATTTGACTTGCGAACAGATTTTAGAACAGAACCTGTTTGCATCCCAGGAGCTGCCTGTATTGCAGAGTAAATGCTGTTTAATAGAGTTGTCAATGACATCTTTCATCATTTTCCTAATGATTGACACTAATGAATTACTAATTGGCTGGATTGGAATTGTCCTGCTTTTTGTCGATAGGATATGCCTGAGCAACTTGCCACATTGTTCAATAAATGCCTCTGTTGTAATTTTACTGGAATGGCTTGGCCATAAGTGCTAGATAATCTGGAGCTTAATTCTTCAGGATGTTGCCCAAATATTATCAGAGCCCATTGCTTTTGCATTGTCCAATGCCTTCAACTGCTTCTTGATAGCGTGAGAGTGGATCGAAATGACTGAAGATTGGCATTTGTGGTGTTGTGGGCTTTGGAAGCCGTTGGATTGTCTGCTTGGCACTTCTGGCTGAAAATGCTTGAAAATATTTTAGCCTTATCTATTGCACTGAAGTGCTGGGCTCCCCTATTATTTGATGGGGACGTTCCTGGAGTCTCCTGATCCAGTGAGTTTTTTTAATTGTCCACCACCATTCATGACTGGATGTTGCAGGATGGAGAGCATAGATGTGATCTGTTGGTTGTGGGATTGCTTCACTTTGCCTGTTGTACACTGTATTCATTGTTTAGCATGAAAGTAGTCCTGTGTTGTAGAGACCGAAACGTCAGCCTCTCTGCTGCTATGATGCTGCTTGGCCTGCTGTGTTCATCCAGCCCTGCACCTTGTTGTCTCGGATTCTCCAGCATCTGCAGTTCCTACTGTCCCTGTGTTGTAGCTTCACTAGGTTCACTGGTGCTAGTCCTGGCAAGCTTACTGTACTCTTGGAACTAAAGTTGATATCTTTGTTTGATAATGGTAAAAGTGTGGGATTTCCAGGTCCTGCAGGTGTAGATTGTGATTGAATGTAATTCTCCTGGTGCTAGCTAATGTTTAAAGTTTTAATACCGTATTTGTTCATTTTTTCCTCCATATCAGATCAATGTCCTTCAGTCAAAGAGAAGATCTGAACTTTTAAAATCGGTAAGCTTTTGTCTTCTTAGAAGTGGTTTGATGACTAAATGTTGATCTTTCAGGTTATTTAGGTAACCCTTTTAGATGCCACTTTTAGCTCTAATTACTGATCATTTGACATGCATGTCATCCTATCATATGTTCTGAACAATATTTGATTTGAATTGATGGTTTCTGTCAAAGACCTGACCATATTTTAATATCAACCTAATGAGGGGATCATGTTCAAGCTCAATATCAGAACTGACATCTTCTGTGGATTTTCAATCCTTCACATCAGCTACCTTGTAAAGTAACAATATTCCAACATTTTATACTAAGTATATTTTCTATAAAGTCATCTTAATATTGAAGTTGAAATGAAAACTGCAGCTGTTTATAAAGTTTGTTGTGAGAACTTGCATTCTCACAACCATTGTTTGAATCTGTGGAACAGTCTGACTTCTCTGTTTAATATGATAGCCCAGGTTGTTCTGAAGTGTTACTGTCAAATAAATTTAAATATTCTCAGAATGTTGTATCACCTCATAGAACATAGAACATTACAGCACAGTACAGGCCCTTAGGCCCTCGATGTTGCGCCGACCTGTGAAACCAATCTGAAGCCCATCTAACGTAAACTATTCCATTATCATCCATATGTTTATCCAATGACCATTTAAATGCCCTTAAAGTTGGCGAGTCTACTACTTTTGCAGGCAGGGCATTCCACGTCCTTACTACTCTCTGAGTAAAGAACCTACCTCTGACATCTGTCCTATATCTATCACCCCTCAATTTAAAGCTATGTCCCCTCGTGCTAGCCACCACCATCTGAGGAAAAAGGCTCCCACTGTCCACCCTATCTAATCCTCTGATCATCTTGTATGTCTCTATTAAGTCACCTCTTAACCTTCTTCTTCTAACAAAAACAGCCTATGTCATCACCCAAATGTTGCTGATTTGGTTCAGATGATGCAATTATTTCGATATAGCCTCCAATGTCTGCCAAGTCATGCTAATTTAAACTTTAAGTTCCTGCACCAACCCTGCAGTTGATTTTAAAAAAAAATCTTCCTGTTATTCTGTACATTTCACCTCCATGGAGTCTTCATTGTATGTCATAAAGCAATGTGATTAATTAGATTAATATCATAAATACTTGACAAAAACTTTGCCCTATAATATAGACTTCCGGGCTTCCAGACCTCTTGTACTACCCTCACTAAATTGCTGCAGTGCGAGATGGTCTTTATCATTAAATGATACTACTTTATTCATTCACAGGATGTGGGTGGTGCTGGCCAGCCAGCATCCATTGCCCATCCCCAATTTCCCAGAGAGCAGTTGAACCACATGTAGGGCAGACTAGTTAAGGATGGCAACTTCCTTCCCTAAAGGACATTAGAGAACCAGATTTTTTTTTTCTCTGACAGCAGTGGCTTCATGGTCATCATTACATTTTTAATTCCTTTTTTTTATTATTGAATACAAATTCCACCATCTGCCATGGGTCTTCAGATTAATAGCCTAGCAATAATACCACTAGGCCATCACCACCCCTCTTTCCTCTGTCATTCCTCTCAGTTATTTTGGTACTTTCTCTTCCTTTTGAGCACCATATTTCATTTGCCTCTCTCACCTCTCCATATCCTTTATCATCCAAACAAGATTCTCCTTGAGTTTTTGAGGTAACCTTCGTGCAGAGACTGAGCAAAGGAAATAATGAAGCATGAGTGATTTCTCAACCTCTGTGATTTCAGTCTGAATTCAAGCCTTGTCATCTCTTCAGCTCACTGAACTCCTTAATCTCTTCCTTATGAGCATCATATGTGTACATATCCAAACCCAACTCAACCTTGCCTAATGCAGTGTCTATTCCCGTTGTGTCAGTCATAAGACAAGGCCATCTTTGATCAGTCCCTTGCATGTTTCACCAGTCACATTCCATTTAACCGTTCTAACTTCAGTTCCTTCTGCATTTGATCTTGGAAGACAAGTTCTAACACAGTTAAAAATATTCAAACTTTCAACTACGTTGACTTTAGGTTTTCATTCTTGAATAGTTCAATCACTCCCTCATTTCTATATTTGATGCTCTTTACCCTCTTAAATCCCTTAGTCTTGCACATTCATGTTGCACCATTCCCATTTTCACTTAATTAAGTTCAAGGCCCCAAACATGATCACATTAGGTGTACATTTGCTTTTGTTACTTACTGTCAGGCATTTCTAGACAACACAAAGTACTAGTGGGCCTTGTTGCCTTTGACTAAATCTTCTCGTTCTCCTGGATTATCCTGTAATGCAAAGATAATTCTTGACGTTTTTACCCCTCCATTACCAGCTATTATCTTCTGTGCAAGGTCTTTATCTTGTCCAAGATATGGATTTCAGTATGAAAGTTAGGTTCAATTAGTTCTGCATTCTCCTTGACTTCTGCCTTCTTCCCCACCCTCGTTCTATACTTGGCCCTAGCTATGCACCTGTACCCTTCCCTAATTTTCCTCACTTTATCCTGTCCATCAGATCCACCTTTTGAACTATTCTCAGTGTCCCTTTTTAGCCCCATATCCACTAATATTGTGAACTATTTAATCTCCTGTCACGTTTTATTGCATTGTTTAAATGAGGTTGGTTTAAATCAAGTTCAACTTCCTTTTAGCCATTCCCACCCTCTCTGTATCCTCTTGACTCCACTGTCCTTACAGTTTAGCACCCTGTGTCAACTTATTGTCTTTTCCAATCCCAACTTTTCTGTGACCCACCCTCCCCATGTCTGGCTTTTTGTACTAAGGTTTCTGCCCTTGCTACAACAGTGAACTGGTCCTGATTAGTATTACACATTTCTGTGACAGACCATGGTGCCTGAATTCTGCCTAATCCTTTACTACCTCTATGCAGCTTTTGACATAGTTAAGCAAATAATCCTCCTTGAATATCTTGTCCGTCATCAGGAAAGTAAGACTGTGCTGTCTGACAGTCTTCTCAAGTGGATTCTCTTTTGGTCTCATTACCCTTACCTCTGGAATCCCCCCCACAGAATTAGCCTCCATTGTCTCTTATTTCTTATTCCTTGATGATGGTGTCACGTTAATGTCACCGGACTAGTACTCCATAGACCCAGGCTAATACTCTGGGACATGGCTCCAAATTCCACCATGGTAGCTGGAAGGATTTAAGTTCAGTTAATAATTCTGGATTTGCAGAAAATGTTTCAGTAATAGTGACTGTGAAATTATAATTGATTGTTGTAAAAATGTATATTGTTCACTAACTTTTTTTTTGGGAAGAAACTCTGCTATCTTTACCTTATCTGACCCACATGTGACTCCAGATCCAGAGCAATGTAGTTGACTCTTAACTGCCATTTAGATGGTTCTAATAGTCACTCAGTTCAAGGGCAGTTAGAGATGGGCATTAAATACTGGCCTTCCAGAATCTGGAATGCTACCTGGGAAAGTAGTGGAGGCTGGAAACCTTTACAACATTTAAAAATAAATAAATGGATGAGTACTTCAAATGTCTCTATCCCATGGAAGAATAAAGGGAACAAAACTTGTATTGTCCTAATGATATCATCTGAAATAGTACATGTGGAGCTTTATGTACTGTAACATCACCCAACTCCATTCTCAGCTCCTTTCCTCTCTTTATGTCGTCAGTCCGCTTCACTGAACAACAGCTCAGATGAGCTGTTATTTCCAGTCAAATGGTCTTCCATCCTTCACCATACTGTATTTCATAGCTATCAATTCTACCTCCTGCCTTGGCCACTGCCCTGGGCTGAGTATTTCTATAATTTTCTGTTGTTATGCCCCCTGTTGCTTCCTAACTAATCCAATGTCTTTAGAATCATAGAGGCTACTTCTGTATCATCGCCTTTGCGTTTCCTGCACCGCTGCCCTCACATCCCCTCCCTGCAACAAAAACAAAGACAGAGTCCCCCTTGTCCTCGCGTATCACCTCACTAACCTCCGGATTCAACATATCATTCTCCGCCACCTGCAATCTGACCCCACAACCAAGGATATATTTCCCTCCCCACCCCTATCTGCCTTCTGTAGGGACTGCTCTCTCTGTGACTCCCTCGTCTGCTCCACACTCCCCACTAGCCCCACCACCCCCGGCACCTTTCCCTGCAATCACAGGAAGTGCTACACCTGCCCCTTAACCTCCATCCATGGAATCAAAAAAAACCTTTCACATCAGACAGACGTTTACCTGCACATCCGCCAATGTGGTCTATTGCATCCGCTACTCCTGATGTGGCCTCCTCTACGTTAGTGAGACCAAGCAGAGGCTCGGAGACTGCTTTGTAGAGCACCTGAGCTCTGTTCGCAACAAATGACAACATCTTCCGGTCACGAACCATTTCAACTCCCCCTCCCATTTCCTGGGCGACATGTCTATCCTGGGCCTCCTCCAGTGTCACAGTGAGGCCACCCGGAAACTGGAGGAGCAGCACCTCATTCCGCCTTGGGAGCCTACAACCCAATGGTGTCAATGTGGACTTTACCAGTTTCAAAATCTCCCCACCCCCATCCTCAGCCCATGACCAACCCTCCCTCTCATCCCCACCTCCTTGACCTGACACAACCTGTCCACCTTCTCTCCCACCTATCTGCTTCTCCCACCTCACTGACCAATCCCCACCACTGCCTACCTGCACTCACTTATCGCCATCCCACCTACCTTTCCCAGCCCCACCCCTCCTCTTTCTATTTTATTTCAGAGCTCCCTTTCCCCTCCCCCATTTCTGAAGAAGGGTCCCGACCCAACCCGACCCGAAACGTTAGCTTTCCTCTGCTGTATGGCCTGATGGCCTGCTGTGCTCCTCCAGCACATTACCACTAGGCTGTCGCCTCCCCAGTGTCACTGGACTGTTAATCCAGAAACCCAGATCACGTCCTGGGGACCCGGGTTCGAATCCCACCATAGCAGATGGTGGAATTTGAATTCAATAAATATCTGGAATTGAGTATCTAATAATGACCATGAATCCATTGTTGATTGTCAGGAAACACCCATCCGGTTCACTAATGTCACTTCGGAAAGGAAACTGCCGTCCTTACCTGGTCTGGTCTATATGTGACTCCAGACCCACAGCAATGTGGTTGACTCTTAACAGCCCTCTGGGCAATTAGGGATGGACAGTAAATGCTGGCCGAGCCAGCGATGCCCTCATCCCGTGAATGAATAAAGAAGAAAAGCTCCACGCAGCGTTATCTCTGACATTCTGGAAATTGCTTTTTTTCCTTTCAATCTAATGCCTCTCCCCTTAAACTCCCTGTGCAAATTTTAGGATGTACCGTAACAGCCCATATCTCAAATTCTATGTAATAGGAGAGTTCTCTGCATGTGATGGTTTTTACTTAAATATATGCATTGTGTGAATCTGACCTTTCAGTAGCACCAAATTCTCAAGATTAAACTACTCACACTACATGACAATAATTATAAAAAGAAAAGCTAACCAACTGCTCATCATTGCTCAGCTCCCTCAAAGGCTAGGATCCACACACTTCAGACTTTCCTACTGAGCTTTTGAGCTTGAGACTGATACTTGCTCGTGACTTGAAGTTTCTGCCTTCTTCCTGTCTGGCTCCCTTTGCGTTCTTGTTTTCTAGATTGTGACAATTTGTCTCCTCAAGTAACTTGTGCTCCACGTACTGTGACCACCTCCAATACATTTACTGCTTTGTGCTTAAATAGAGAACCACAGAAGTGTTACATGCATAACAATGGCATGCTGCAACACTTAAACAGCTTTACCACAGCCCATCATGTATTTCAGTGTGCAAACATACAGCTAGACTTTATCAAGAAATACCCTGGGAAGCTTTAAGGATTGCCATGTGTTAAGTTTAATTTGAAGGTTGCTGCCAGAAGTTACAACCCACTGTGCTAGGCATATGTATATTAAACATTTGTGTAGGGTCCTTTTCTTGAGTGCTAGTAGTTGATAGGGCATGAGAAAGCAGTATCATGCTTTTTTCACTCTCAGAAGCATATTGTACTTGGAATATCTCTGAAGCTATCTTTCAAATTTGATGTCTTTGAATGATAGAGACCCTATTGATCAATTGTGCCACATTCTGATGGGTACTTTTGTTGGAAGAATGCGCTGGAATGAAAGTAAAATATCTTTCCTTCCTTTATTTATGGCAGTGCAGAAATTTTGTTGCATTTTATGTTTGTAGACTGTAAAGCTTAGCGAAGGTCATGTAAAATTTGACCTTTTAAATGTAAAAGCAAATATTAAATAGCTGGTAATGCATTGAATATTCCCAAATTTTACAAGCTTCCTGTAATTAGCAAACTGATGAACTATATCTCAAAATCTGAATAATTGTAATGTATTTTGAGTCTGGACAAAATAAAAAGAAATGTTGAACATGCTTCAAAGTTCTGTTTACAGTCATTGTGACAAAATATGTTTAGTCAACTCTAAATTATTAAATGAACATTTAAACCAAATATTGCTTTTGATGAAAGATGAGGAAGGGTAGACCTTTTTTGCTGGAAATGTATTACGAAAACAGGCTATGGCTTCGTAAAGTGTGCTGGAAATGGAATTTGGTGTAAGCTTTTGAAAGGTGTACTGCTTGTCTGTGTTTCATATACATGCAAGTAATATGGTAATAATTCTTTTGCAAGACTCCAAACACGATCCATTTCTGAAGATTGTGCACCAGACAGATCTGGGATGCACGAGGGAAATGCCTTGCATCTTATCTCTCCCATCTCTCTTCCTCAACTCAGCCGTGAGGGAAGCATAATCTTCACTCTTTCTTCTCACCTTTTCTGTTGTTTCACAGCTTAATACCTCTCTTCTGATAGTGTAAAGACCAAACAGAATATCTGAGTGAAGGGTGCATGGCATTAATAGATTAAGCTTGACACTGCAGTGACATTATGCTGGTGACATTTGTAAGATTTTCACACATGGAAGTGTATGTTTTTAATTTATCAAAATATCAGGTTGTGATCTTAAAATTGCTAATTGTTCATTTTCATAGCTTTAAATATCTTGAACCAAAATTTGTGTGCATTTAATCTTCATTGTGCAATTTATTCCTAAACTGTTCTCAATTCGTTATACTAAATAACAATGTCAGTAGTTAATTTTTTTTAACTTTTCATTTTCAGATGTTGTCCTTTATGTATGCCCATCTCACATTCTTTCATCAGGGATATGATCTTTTTATGGAACTGGAGCCTTACATGAAGGAGCTGGGGGCCCAGGTAAGACTTCAAAACTGTAAAATAAATTTAAGCATTTTTAGAATTTGTTTATTCTTTTGTGGGATGTGGAGGTCCCTGACTCGGCAGCGTTTATTGCCCATCCCTAATTGCTTTTGAGAAGGTGGTGGTGAACTACCTTATTAAACTACTGTAGCCCTTGTGGTGTAGGGAGGGAGTTCCAGGGTTTTAGAGTGAAATCGTTTAAAATTTTGAAATACTTGTTTTTTTTTCATTTAGATACCCTGTTTGAGATGTGAACGGCATCCTATGCTTTTAGTGTGTGCAAAATTATCATGTCATTTGCTAGAATTTTATCTGAAAGTTTATTGAAGTTACTTTTTTTTTGACAGAGACTTTGAATACTTAATTTTGAAAAAATATTGGTTTGATTTTGTGATATATTTAATGTAAAGAATGTGACCAGGTGCTACATAAGTAATATGCAAAAAGTTTATACTTGGTTAGGAGACAATGGTTATAAAGAGACATTGAAGAATTCAGAGCTTAGATTTGAGGAGAAGGAACAAATGTAGTTCAAAACCAAATGGTGAACAATCTATGGCAACAATTGCCTACTAAATAAAAAACAATATGTATTTTTACCACGTACATTGGGCACCTTTTTAAATCTCAAATTTCAGAAGCAATATAGAGCCATTTCAAACACAACATTCAAGTTGTAGCTGGGAAGTGCTAACTTCAGGAACTTTCCAAAAGCACATTTGACATCATTTGTAAAATTACTTAGAGATGCATTTTTAATTAAATGTTCAATATTTGAGTTTTTAGATCAATTTGTGTGTTCATCGCTGAATTACAAATTAACTGTCTGTCTTCAGGATTATTCAGTTGTTCAGTCTTGGTTGGAAGTGGGTAGATTCAAAAGTTGAAAAGTATCTTTATTTTGAATATTGTTTTGAAGCCAGCCATTAATGCTGTAAAGACTATTTTCTTTGGTGTGCCTGTTGTTAGGGATACATAAATAATGGATTAAGTTGAAATCCTAAATTACGAAGGCTGATACATAAATTTAGCAGATATTATATTAGTCCCTACTTGCTGACTTGCACTTTGCATTTTCTGGAAAACTGGGTTTAGCTTTGTTTGAGAATGTATTACTCCTACGCTAAAATGATCAATAATTACTGCATATATCCTAATTAAACAATTATACATGCTGCTTGAAAGCAAAGGGATTAATGTTTTGAATTTCGTTTTTGTTCGTTAAAATTTTCACGGCTTTTAAATAATCTCTGATTTAGTTTTAGTTTTAGACTAGTGAGGCACTGAATTTGAAATGATGCTAACTACTGTTGTAGGCCAAGATAATCATTCATTTGATGAGTACGAAACATATATTTGTACAGTATCTTTCATGAGCAGAGGACATTCCAAAGTACGTCATAACCAATAAATTACTCGTGAAAGAAAGTCATTTTTGCTTTGAGAACACACATGATAGACAATTTATGCACAACAACGGGTAACAACCAGCCACCAAGTAAATGAGATAAAACTAGGAATTGCTGGCAACGCTCAGCAGATCTCGCAAAAGAGACCGATTCAACTCAAAATTTAAACTCTTTCCTCGGATGCAGCCAGACCTGCTAGGTATTTTCAGCACTTTGTATTTATTTCAGGTTTTTGGTATTCACAGTGTTTTGCTTTAATCAAGAAAATTACTTGTTTTGGTTGTTTTGAAGGGATAACTATTGGCTTGGATACTGCAGTGGTGTTCACACTTTTTAAATTGTGCTTCTGGAATCGTGTACCTCCCAAAATATCATAGTAACTTGCAGTGTGTATTTCTCTTTTAAAGTAGCCTCCTCTGCATGTTCATGAAATTTCCAAAATGAATACATAGAATTGCAACAAATTGAAGAAATCATTTGGAGCAGTATATTGGCTTGTATTGATATCAGATTTACCACAATTACTCACCTTAATCCCGGTTTTGTAGTTAATTTGTCTCTGTAAAATAATTTTAACAACAACAGAATCTCCCTCCACACCTTCACTCCAATACTACTGCCCCTGAAAAATAAATTACTGATTTCATCAATGACAGGGTAAGCAGAAGAGTTGTTCACTGGTTTCTGCTTGTGTGCTCTGTTAAATCTTGCAGTTCTATTGAATTTTTTTGTTGCCTTCCCATTCAGGTTTAATACGTTATCACCTGCATTCTTGATGGTTGTACAGCACAGAAACAGACCCTTCAGTCCAACTCGTCCATGCTGACCAGATATTCTAAATTAACCTGTTCCCATTTGCAAGCATTTGGTCCATATCTCTCTCATAAACCTTTCCTATTCATATACCCATCCAAATACCTTTTTAAATGTTGCTTTTGTACCAATCTCCATCACTTCCTCTGGCAGCTCGTTCCAGACACGCACCATCCTCTGCGTGAAAAACTTGTCCCTTGGGTCCCTTTAAATCTTTCTCCTCTCAACTTAAACCTATGCCCTCTAGTTTTGGATTCCCCTACCCTGGGGAAAACACCGTGGCTATTCACCCTATCCATGCCTTTCATGATTTTATACACCTTTGTAAGGTCACCCCTAGCCTCTGACCCTCCAGGGGAAAATAGCCCCAGCCTATTCAGCCTCTCCCTATAGCTCAAGCCCCCCAACCCTGGCAACATCGTTGTAAATCTTTTCTGAACCTTTTCAAGTTTTACAACATCCTTCCTATAGCAGGGAGACCAGAATTGAATGCAGTATTCCAAAAATGGCCTCACCGATGTCCTGTAATGCCGCAGCATTACCTCCCAACTCCTTTACTCAATGCACTGACCAATAACGACAAGCACACCAAACGTTGTCTTCGCTATCCTATCTACCTACGACTCCACTTTCAAGGAAATATTCATTTGCACTCCAAGGTCTCTGTTGTATGGCAACACTCTCCAGGACCTTACCATTACGTGTATAAGTCCTTCCCCGATTTGCCTTTTCAAAATGCAACACCTCACATTTATCTAAATTAAAATCCATCTGCCATTCCTCGGCCCATCAGCCCATCTGATCGAGATTCTGTTGTACTCTGAGGTAACCTTCTTCGCAGTCCCGTATACTTCCAATTGGTGTCATCTGCAAAATTACTAACCATACCACCTATATTCACATCCAAATCATTTCTATAAATGACAAAAAGCAGTGGACTCAGCACCAATCATTGTGGCACACTGCTGGTCACAGGCCTGCAGTCTGAAAAGCAACCCTGCACCACCACCCTCTGTCTTCCACCTTTTGAACCAGTTCCAAATGGCTAGTTCCCCCTGTATTCCATGTGCTCTAACCTTGCTAACTACCTTACCATGAGGAACTTTGTCGAACATCTTACTGAAGTCCATACCGATCACTTCCACCACTCTGCCCTCATCAATCCTCTTCGTTACTTCTTCAAAACACTCAAGTTAGTGAGACACAATTTCCCATGCACAAAGCCATGTTGACTATCCCTAATCAATCCTTACCTTTCCAAATACAAAGGCTACTGTACCCAGTATTCCTGGATGGTCTCTCATCCAAGTACTAACCATGCCTGAGTCTGCTTAGCTTCTGAGATCAGATGAGATCGGGCATTTTCAGACTAGTGTGGCCATAGGTTTCAGATAACTGTATTTAGGGACCAGAAAAAAGTGAGGGCACAGGAGCTAGCAGGATTAAATTTTCTTGCTTCACAGAAATATTTCTTGGGCAAGAATTTGGAGTAATATTTTAAGGTTTTTTTTTTTGCAAGTTGCATTCCATATATAAAGTATACAATGATTAGTTTTTTATGGTTGCTTTAAAAATAATCCATGTACAAAATATTAGCCTAGTCAGCAAGGTGGTTTTCTGTTATTGCCTTTAGACGAGAAGTGCAGTTGGAAAATCTGGTTTTATTTGAACATTTATCTTTGACTGCTTCTGTCTAATTGGTGCAGTACCACTGGGCATCAGAGCCTGTGCCACTGGTTTGCCCTATCAGGCATTCATAGCTGCTAATGCAGGCAACAATGATTGAGCACTGCAACCTTTGCCAGTGTTTACATTACATGTACAGTGTTTCTTACTGGTCTGATGCCACAAACAGATATTCTTTTAGAACTGTGCAATCATTGTGAATTTAAGGTACCATATGGATCAGTGCAAGTTGTCTGTTTTCATAACTACCTACAGGACCTCAGCAGAAGCTATCCGAATGGATGCTGAAAATTTCCAACCTTGCTGCAATGCTTCCTTAATGTTGTAGAGGACAAATTGTAAGATAGGGAAACTTAATTGCATCATGATTGGAAGATGCTAAATCTGTTTTTCAAAGTGTAAGTAGGACTGAAGAAATTGAATTGTTAGGATTTTGTTAGTTTCATTATTGTAAACATAGTCAGACATAATGACATGATCAGGTAGAATGAACTTATTTTTATTTTTTTAAGAGACCTGTCATTCTTTTTATGTTACTTCATTCATTTCTAAAATGAGGAGGGATATTTATGTACAGGTAACTGGTTGAGATTCACAACTTAGTAATTTTGAATTTAAAAAGTGATTTAATATTCTGTTTCAACAGCTGGATCAATTAGTTGTGGATGCAGCTAAAGAGAAGAGAGACATGGAACAAAAACATTCCACTATTCAACAAAAGGTATGTGGACAGATGTGAATTTTTACATATTTTAAACATCCCACCTCACCTGAAAATGTAAGTACAATTCAAATGTCTTACAGTATTTTATAGTATTGCAGCCCACTGCCTGTAAATCAGTGTTACAATGATCAATTAAATACCTTCACTAAGAGCAATATCTCTAATTGTACTATCCCAAAAAGAAACACTAAACTAAATAAAGCCATCGGCTGGGCTATTACTTGTGAATTTCTAGATTTTTATTTTGCTTCTCTGACTATTGTGAATGTAATCCTTTTGAAATGTATCACAGTTTACTTAACTGAAGCATTTTTCATTGGAGAAACATTTTTTAGTTAGATACTCATTGAGTTATGCAGCAAAGATACAGGCCCTTTGGTCCACATAGACATGGTAGGCCAACAAAGGCCAAATGCATATCTTGCTCTGAAAGTTGTAGAAAACTATAAAATTTTACAGTAATCAAAATATGTAATGGTAAAGTGATACCCAATTGGACCAAATACTAGAATTTAAAACTAAAATGACACCGACATAAAATAACTGGACAATATTTAAGATTAAGTCTATTGTAACCTAATTTGGTTTATCGACTGTTGCAATATTTCAGGGGATCAAAATTCCACTAAGTTGGTGTGAATTCAGAAAGTTCCTATGTGAAGTGTTGGCCACCTTTTATTTTTTATTTAGCTGCTGCATCCTGCTTTTCCCACCCATGACATGCTGTAATCTACTTAAATACTGAAATCATTTTTTTTGGTTGTATTTGAGTTCTACAATTCTAGGCCTCTGGTGTTGCTTTACTAAGCAGTTAAACCACGAAGACCAGAATAAAAATGGAACATACTGGAAATATTTAGCAGGTCTGGCAACATCTTTGGAAAGAAAAACTGGATTAGCCTTTCAGGTTGATGACCTTTCAACAGAACTGCAGTCCGTTTGGAAAGATTTAGGATGGTCTTGTGTGGCGCTAAAGGATGTTCAGACTCTGTTTGCAAAGGAATATTACTTTGGTTTGTAAGGTCTTTGCATAGACGTGTAGAAGCAAGTTGATTTTATTTTCCCTACCAAGACTGTGGATTTCACTCGGATTCCTTCAGTCTAGCTTTCTTGACGTTGCTGAATTGTTGAAGCTTTGTATCCTGCGTTCTTTCGGACCATTAGATCATGGGACGTAGGAGTAGGAGTAGAAGCAGGTCATTCAGCCCATCATGTTTACTCCACTGTTCGGTGAGATCATGGCTGACCTGACAAACCTCACGTTCACTTTCCGGCCTTTTCCCCATAACCCTTGATACCCTTACTGATTAAAAATCTGTAAATCTGCAAAAGTACTTATAGAAGGGGAACAACGTTTTCCTGCATGAGAATAGAACTGTTTGGTTGGCAAGTGCATTGTGATTCTGATATGCATTGCCATGGAGAATGCACCAGCTAGATAGCGACTGACAACCCCCCCCACCCCCTACCAAATCTCCCAGCCCAAAAATACATGAGGCATGAAATATCTAGCCAACGGTTGAAGAAGTACCACTTTATCCATTCATTTTCAGGACTCTGTTTTGTTTCAGTTAGTTATGAACCTAAGTTCTGATGAAGGGCCAGTGGTCTTGAAACATAAGCTATGTTTCCTCTCCACAGATGCTACCAGACCTGCTGAATTTCTCCAGCACTTTGTTTCAGTTTGTTCATTTCATTCAATTAATACTAATAAGTGACTTCACCTGACGAAGGAGCAGTGCTCGGAAAGCTTTTTGATTTCAAATAAACCTGTTGGACTGTAACCTGGTGTTGAATGACTTCTGACTTTGTCTACCCCAGTCCAACACCGGCACCTCCACATGACCGAGTTCCCATGTCAGTACATGTCACGAGTACAAAACATCTCTTAATTTGGCACAGTAGTACTAAATTAGACACCTCAGTGGTGGAGTTTACAAAGACGGTTCACATAGGAATGAAAACATTTAATATTGAAAGTATAGATGGTGCACTTGTGAGGTTAAAGTATTTCTGAAGAAGGGTCTAGGCCCGAAACGTCAGCCTTCCTGCTCCTCTGATGCTGCTTGGCCTGCTGTGTTCATCCAGCTCTACACCTTGTTATCTCAGATTCTCCAGCATCTGCAGTTCCTACTATCTCTGATTACTTTTAGCTTCTTGGTGAAGAATGATTTTTGTGGTGTTTGTCCCTCTGTAGTGTAGAAGTTGATGAGTTTGTTATCTTTTTCAAGAGCTGTGAAGCCTATTATCAGAGTTGCCACTGTTAGGGAGGGATTTCCAGGATTTTGACCCAACAATGATGAAGGAAAAGAATAGTGTCCAAGTCTCGAAGTCACAAAGGTGTATTACTTGGAGAGACTCTGAGACATGGCTGTCCCTGTTCCCTTTATCATTTTCAAGAGCAGACGTCCTGGATTTAGGAGGAAATCCTTGCTGGTTTATTCTAGTGCATCTCCTAGATTGTGTACACAGTAGCAACATGTCCAACTGGTGGATGGAGAGTGAATGTCAAAGATGGAGAAAGTCGGATGCTAATCAAGAGAGCTCCTTTATCTTGGATGGTGTCTTGAGTTATTAAAACTGCACTCATTCAGGCAAATGCAGAGAATTCCACGACACTCCTGACTTGTGCTTTGATAGTGGAAAGACTTGGAGAGGTAGGCCCCTTGCTACAAATACCTAGCTTCTGACCTGCTCTTGTAGCCACAATATGTGTAAAGACACCTTTTAAATTTATTTTTTGACCGTGTGCACAAGAAAGATGGTGCTTCAAACTAAGGAGACTCTGCAGAGGTATGACTGTGGTTTTTAAGTGTGTACTGGAACACTTTGAGTTCTGTGCAAATGTTGCATTTTCCTGGAACAGCAAGAGCAGAATCGGGCACCACAAGACCGGTTCAGAACTAAAGAAAAACTGCTTGATAGCAATGTTCTGATTGGCTTCTATCTTGGTGATCATGATTTGTGTGGAGACAGTACAGTAGATAATTATGTAGCCTGAAAGAGAGTGCATCAAAATATTACTTCTCATCTGGTGTGTCTCACTTGTGTGGAGGTGATAGCTTCAATAATAGGTAGCTATCTTCTACATCCTGTTCTCTTAAATCTCCTCTTGTAGGAGGAATAAAATCCTTTTGAAAATAGTGAAAAGATGAATTCTTAACCATTGAATGAAAGAGAGCTAACAACAAGTTGTGCAAACAACTTTGTGTCAGTAGCAAAGAACTAAAAAGGAATTAAAAGAAAGAGAAAGAAAGCAACTCAGCGAATCCTGTGCTCTGTACTGATGCTGTTGATCTTTCTGCATTTTTCCTTGATATTCAAGGAATAAATTGTAGAGCTATAAAGCAATTGCAATTTCCTAATTGTAATTGGTTAAAGCAATGTTTGATTGTAATAAACAGTTATTTTCCTATTCAGTACAGCAACCTTTTTAATTCGATCTTTTACCCTGAGTTCATCAGTCAGGTAAATTGGGGACTCTGGATAGTATGGTTAAACCTTTTTCACACTCATGGTGTCTCTCTGGGGATAGTGGGATTGAATTTGTCAGTGCACTACCCCAGTGAGCTGTGGTATATGGTAGCTGGTTGAGAAATGTCCTCTTAATTCTCAATTACTCTTATTTCACTAGGGTACCTTTAATGTTACACATTGCTGCTTTTATACCTAGGGGAGTCACTCTAAAGTCTCCTCTAAAATTCAGTTTTTCTTTTATTCATGTTTGGATTAAGGTTGTAAAGGTAAAAGGCAAAATCACCATAGTTCTACTGCACTGTACGGCTCTGTCTCATTAGAGAGACAACTCTCTGGTTTAACCTGACAGTCGCCATGCCTCAGGTGAGGGGAGAGGTGAAGGACTCTCCTTTTCAACAGTAACCTTAGCCAGTGCAGGAATTGAACCTATGCTATTGGCATCACTGCATCACAAACCAGCTGTCCAGCCAACTAAGGTAACAGATCCCCTTATGGAATCATCGAAATTTACTTTACAGCAGGAAGTTATTTGACCTGACGTGTTTATACCTGCTCTAGAAAAGCCAGCCAGCTACTTCCACTCTCCAGTCCTATCTCTGTGGCCCTCTAAATTCATCACTTTTAAAATCTATATCCAGCACTCTCTTGAAACCTTGTATGGGATCTACCTCCTACACTCTGACGTGCAGCGCAATCCAAATCCTAACAGCTCTCCAAGTAAAGAAATTTCTCCTCATCTCACTGTTAGGGCTTGCTGACAATCTTGCAATGGTGCCCTCCCTAGTTACTGACATATCAACTAATGGAAACAGAATATTCTCCTTTACCCAGTCAAAATCGTTCATAATTTTGAATATCTCAATAAGATTACCTCTTAATCTATTCTGCTTCAAGGAGAGTGAGCCCACTTTCTCTAATCTTCCCTTGTATCTAAAATTCCTCATTACTAGAATAATGCCAACACATTTCTTTTGCACTGTTCCAGGGCTTTAACTTCCATCCTTAAATAAGGTGTCCAGAACTGAACACACTATTTCAAATGTGGTCTGACCAATGATTTTTAGAGGTGTAGCATGATTTCTTGCTTTTATACATTATGTCTCTATTTATAAGGATTGTATAAGCCTTCTTAACAACAGTTTCAACTTAGCTGGCCACCTTCAGAGATTTATGCATGTGAACCCCTGGTCTCTCTGCTCCTGTACTCCACTCAAAGTTGAACCATTGAACCTGTATTGTCTCTCTATGTTTATTCTACCAAACTGCGTTACCTCTTCTCTGCATTGAAATTCTTCTGCCAGGTTCCTGCCCCTTTGATCAACTTGTCAATGTCCATCTCAAGTCGCTCAGCATCATCCTCACATTTCACTTTTCTCCCTAGGCTTAGTATCATTCACAAATTTAGAGATTTTGCCCTCAACGTCCATGTCCAAGTTGTTCATATAAATCAGAAAGGGCAAGGGATAATTCTGATCCCTAGGGAACACCACTTTCAACTCTACTCCAGTCTGCGAAATGTC